GGTGTATGCCCGCGCGCAAAGTGGGGGGGGTGCCTTGGTGATTGCACCACACAGCTAGACACCCTAACCCTGCTTGCTCCCAGTAGGTGCCCCTGAACCCCTGAGCGGCCATGTCAGGAGTGTTTGTTTTGAACCGCCGTTGTTACAGTGAAACACAGCATGTCTTTTCAATATCAAAGCTTGCCGGATCGGTTGTATTTTAACCTGCGGACATCGCGCCGCCCCTGAACCTCTCAATCACAACATGTATGAAATCCACTTCCCTTACTTCCTCACTCCCCTTCATCACCGACGCACGTCTTGTGTGGATGGCGCCAGCCCATCCATGCCATCACGCTTCGCAACTTTCGTATCCACCCCCTATGCCGGCCCGCAGCCGCTACCGATACCGGAAACAAGGCCGAGTTTCCAAACTGCCGATTGCCGCTCGGCGCCGTTGGACTATGGGAATCTCACCATCAGAATAGCGCATCACGACATCTGCCGCTATGCCAAACGCAACCGGCCAACCCCACATGGGGCCATGACGCACGTCCATAACGGGGCCGGCGAGTGGAATCGGGAGGTGACACCGTTGGATGGCACTGCCCGGTAACCATCGGGTCGGGCGATTTGGTACGTAGAATTTGACAAGTCGACAATCATAAAGGGGGGAACACCTTCTTTAGATGCGGCGTCACCCCAAGTCCTGGCCGTACGTATGTACTTACATCTTTTGATTCGCGACAGGCAAGACAAGATGTCCTCCACCGACGACGAGAAGCGGATCGACGACGCCAACTCCCTGGAGGTTGCCGGGGAGACAGAGGAGCAGACAAAGGCCGTGTCTCGGTTCACGAGGTGTTACCGCGGCCCGCTGTTCAATGCCAAATGAGTCGCACTATATGTATGTGTACTCGCTCGTCGGCGCCTTCTTTGACGACATCGAGACCTTGACGTTGGCCGTCAGTCTCGTGCGGACATTCGAGTCCGTCGGCTCAAGTGTCTCGTTCGGTATCGGTGCGGCCGCCGTGTCGCCCATGGTCAACCTCGTCATTGAGTTTGCCATGTCTGGTTTGACGATTCCTGCCACGTCATGCGTGGTGTTTATGGTACTAGAACGTCCGGTCGACCTGCGGAAAGACGATGATGGGTCGTCGTCAGGCGCAGCGTCGGAGAGTACGCAAGCGGGTAAGGTGGCCAGTAAAGATAGCGAGACATTTTAGCTTCTTGCAAGCTTAGAGTATTCACCATCTACTGCACCCCAAAATAAAACCAAGGATTTATAGGAATGGCTTCTGCCGATGTCATGACATGCAGAAAAACATGCCTGGAAACTGTAATGGTAACTCCCGAAAACCTTTCATCTGAAATCCAACTGCAGGATCGTACTTCCAGCATGCAGGCGGATGGGCAAAGAGTCGGCAAAAAGTTGAAAGTAATTTGCTGCACTTCTGGGGGTACACCAAAGTGTCGGACCAACTTTCAAGAAAAAACAAAGAAAAAACGCAGAAAAAACAAAGACGCACCCAACGTGGGACTCGAACCCACAACCTTGCGATGGAGTCTGAAACACCATAGAAGTCGCATGCTCTACCGATTGAGCCAGTCGGGCCTTGGTTGTTGTGGCGCAGAATTTTGAAAGATGAGTCTTCCCCCAAGCCACTCTCCAGTGGCTGGGTCATGCGCAACCTGGAAACCAATGCATGTGTTGGCAAAAAGCCCTGCCGCTCGTTAATCTGCCACGTGCCGGTGTCAGCCGAGATTTGCGGCGCCGGACTCGGCGCATTCCGCACTTTGTTGGCTCCGCCCTGGAACATTGCGCTGGCGGGTGTCCGACTCGGGAGTTATCGGCGATCCCCAACTGCAACAAAAGCCATGCAAATCCCAGAGTTATTCGCGTGTCAAACCCCCGCCCACTCGACGGCTGGAGCGACATAGCGAAAACGGAATGGCTGTCGGCTCAACGTGTCGAACGGTGTTCCGGCGCCACATCGATGTGCTCCAGAAGCTGCGCCAACGCCGGGCGCATTCGACCAACGGCGGCGACTCGACGAAGCCGACCCAGGGCGGGCGACGGCAGGATCAAATCCCCACGCCCAACACTGTTCCGACGCTCAATTTCTGGCAGAGACTGGGTCCGTTGACAAGGGCAGCCCAGGCGTACGCTCGCGCCCAACGCAAGCGGCCGTACGTGACGCAGGTGTGCACCTCGTTGTTCATCTATCTATGCTCCGACTGTGCGTTATACCCCCGACCCGGCATAGTTGTTGCCCCAACGTTTTGGAAGAGCTGAGTATTGACCGGTTGCAGTGTCGGCGCAGAGCATGGGCGGGAGGGACTATGACCCAACGCGAACGGCGCGGTCGTTGGTGATTGGGTCACTATCGGCGATTCCGAGCTACAAATGGTGGGTATTTCGTTCGCGCAACACTGTCGTGGTGGACTACTCGCGCAGCCGAAGCTGACACGGTTTGCCGCAGGTTCGTCTGGCTCTCCGAGGGCTTCAACTACCAGTCGCGCCTCCTGTCGTTAGCCACCAAGGTCATCGTCAACCAGATCTGCTTCACGCCCGTCTTCAACACATATTTCTTCGGGATGCAGGCGTTGCTGTCGGGCGCGACCCTGGACGAGACGTGGGAACGCATCAAGAAGACGGTCCCCGTTAGCTGCGTCAACTCGTGCAAGCTGTGGCCCGCGGTCACGGCAGTCAGCTTTGCATTTCTTCCGCTCGAGTATCGACCGGTTTTCGGAGGGGTCATCGCCGTTGTGTGGCAGACGTATCTCAGCCACTTGAACCGGCTGGCCGAACGGAGCATCGCTGGGCAGGTGGAATCACTGGAGGCGGCTCCCGCGATGGAGAAAGTTGCTGCATAGCGTCGAGGAGGCGCAGCGTTTCCGCCTATTTTAGTTTGGTGAGCTCGATGATCGGTTGTGGACATTTGCATAGGTTGGCGTTTAGTTGGAGTTTAGAGATCGACTTGTCTCAGGAAGCAATGGATGGGATGGATGGGATGGATCATGACATGATCGATGGGGGTTGATAAGGGTGCAGTGCCAGTGGGCTTAAGAGAGCACACAGTGCGGCTTTGCCCCCCGCGTTCAATGAACACTGTATTTCATCCCGCAACCCGCGCCCAATTCCAAAAATTTGCCCAAACATCAACACCACCAGCCGATCCCGGCCGTCACTCGTTTCGAGCCATTGAGCGCTGGTTTCGCCCAGTTCTCGTTTCCAAGATGGCGGGCACATATCTCCGAGCCCAACGCTCTCTTGCAGGCTCTCTTCAACCCTTGCTTCGCCCTCAACCAAGATTTAGCAACCATGTCCGCCGACGCCCCGCCTCGACAACCACGACGTCCTCCTCCACCAAGCGCCCGCCCTCCACAGCGCGCAACATCTTCGTCACCACCATCCTCGCCGCCACCGCCACCCTGACTTACTACTACGCAACCGACACCCGCGCCTCCATCCACCAATGGCTCGTCCCTCGTCTCATCCGCGTCCTCTTCCCCGACGCCGAAGACGCCCACCACGCCGGCACCGCCGCCCTCAAAGCCCTCTACCCGCTCGGCCTGCACCCGCGCGAGCGCGCCGCCGCCGCCTCGACCGAGTCCGAAACCAACCCTGCCACCAACCCGCTCGCCGTCACCGTCTTCGGCACCACGCTCGCCAACCCGATCGGCATCTCGGCGGGGCTCGACAAGGACGCCGAGATCCCGGACCCGCTCTTCGCGCTGGGCGCGGGCGTGGTCGAGGTCGGCGGCTGCACGCCGCGGCCGCAGGACGGCAACCCGCGCCCGCGCCTGTTCCGCGTCCCCGCCGCCGACGGCCTCGTCAACCGGTACGGGCTCAACTCGCGCGGCGCCGAGGCCATGGCCGCCCGCCTGCGCGAGCGGCTGCGCACGTTTGCGCGCCGTTGGGGGCTGACGGAGCGCGACATGATGGAGGGCGGCGCTGTGGCCGGTGACGACCTCCCGACGGGGAGTCTGCTGCCCGGACGCCTGCTGTGCGTGCAGATTGCCAAGAACAAAAAGACGGACGAGAAGGATATGGAGGCCGTCATCCGCGACCATGTGTACTGCGTCGAGCGGCTGGCGCCGTATGCCGATGTGCTGGTGGTCAATGTCAGCAGTCCGAATACCCCCGGGTTGAGAGACTTGCAGGCGGCCGGCCCGCTGGCCAAGCTGTTGGGCGCCGTTGTGGACGAGGCGAAACGGACCGAGAGGAAGGTCAAGCCGAGGGTGATGGTCAAGGTGTCGCCGGACGAGGATGATGATACCCAGATGGACGGGGTTGTGCAGGCCGTGTGGATGAGCGGTGTCGACGGCGTGATTGTGGGCAACACCACGAAGCGGCGGACCGGCATGGTTCCGCAGGGTGTGAGGCTGAGCGGCAAGGAGCAGAAGGCGCTGGTTGAGGAGGGAGGCTTCTCCGGGCCGGCCATGTTTGACCGGACGCTGAGCTTGGTCGGGCGGTACCGCAAGATGCTCGACAATTACTCGCTCAAGACGGCCGGCGTTGACGACGTCTTCCCCGGGCAAAAGGTCATCTTTGCGACTGGCGGGATCACGAACGGGGACCAGGCGTTGAAGGTTCTGAATGCCGGCGCCAGCGTGGCCATGGTTTACACGGGCATGGTGTACGGCGGCTCTGGGACGATTACCAGGATCAAGAACGAGATGAGGGAGAAGCTCGCCATCAAGGAGGCATGAAACTCCAGTTGATGCTGTATATATCGGTTGTCCAATTTTGCCACAAGTTCTTGCTCGTGCGGCTGCCGGCCGGGAACGTACAAGTTTGACGTTCCTACTACTTTATCGCCTGCCTGTGGTGCATGGGGAGCACCCTCCTTGAGGTTCCTGCACTTTTCTCCATTGTCAGTCTCACCGATCAATGCACCTAAAAGCAGCCCGACCACAGAACTAACAATGCAAAGGTGATCCGCTTATGGTAGTCGCGACCTTAGAGGCCTTGTGTCTGCTCGGTTCGTGCTGCGGGTGTTCCGTGTCGCCAAGGTAGGTACAGTAGTGGCAACCGAGCTGTTGCAACTGCCTCTGACATCTAGTCTTCCATGTCGCCGCCCACAAGCTCAATGGGGCCAAAGAGATCGAGCCAATCTTCAAGTCTCTCCTTGACAAAGGTACTCAAACTCCAGCAACCTTCGAGATCAAGACGCTCCAGGTCTCCGTCCCAGACATACATATCCGCCTCGACGATCTGTCCCGTTGGTTGGCCATCTTCGCCAAGCAGGTTGACGGTGACTGGTGTTGCTTTGTACGTTTCCCCCTCAAAGTCATCCAGTTTGCGGCGTTGAGAGGCTGTAAGGGAGGCCGCAAGATAGCCATCGACGGACGAGCCGCTACTTTTGATGGCTGCGGGGTAATCGCTCCCGCGGACTGGACATCTTTTGCAGTCGGAAACGACGCCGTTCTGGAGTAATGCAGGCATTTCGTCGGCCCTGGAAGAGTCTCCTGTGATCGCCCATGCAAGCAGAGGCAGCGCCCGGAGTGTGCCGTAGATGAAGAGGGGTCGTGGTGGTGATGACATTTTGTGGCAGGCTTGTGGGTTACCAGGTGTAGAGAGAGTGGCACAGCAATATAGTCGTATTGCTCTGCAAGAAGATAGATGATGGGTGCAAGATGCCAAACGGCGCATCCTGCAGAGATGTCACGGGTGTAGGTGGGCTTGCGCACAGGCCAACCTTTTAACGTGGGCCTACAGAATACTTTAGGTTAGTAATAGGCTACCTACGGGTAGGTAGGTATTGATGAATTGTACCTTGCTGTGGAAGGAATCCCATCTCGGAGCTGGCGGAGTAACATGATTTATCCAAATACTAGCTCAATATATGTGCAGGTAAAACCCAGGAGGTGAAACAAAGTATAGACACGAATTCAATCGAAAGCCGCTCCTAAAATTCCCTCTCCGTTTCCCCTTTCAACCCCCTTCCTCATCGCCCCCTTTCAACCCCCTTCCTCCGCCTTTACCACTTTAACACTTGAAAACAGCCGGGCCTGGAATGGTATAAGCTTGCGCTACATCACCCACCATCATCATTAGCATCTCTAATAAAAGACCCCATTTCACGCGCCGGAGTAATAGAAGAAGAGAGAAATCGAACTCACCCTTGTACGCATCATAGGTAATACCGGCATCGCTGCCCTTGTAGGCGCCCGGAAACGCAACCAGAGAGCTGGGGACGGTGGAACCGCCGCCGGACACGTTCAGCTGGTGGCAGCCCGGGTAGAACTGGGCGCCGGGGTACGCGTAGGCCGAGTGCAGGGCGATGATCTCGTGGCGGACCAGGTAGAAGCCGCTCTTGAGGCACGAGGGGATCGTGTAGGTGACGGTGGCGGGGGTCTTCATCAGGGCGGACTGGAGGAGATGTTGGTGGTTAATACCTATTTCGATAATAACAAGAGGTAAGGGGGGGGGGAGGGGGAGACAAAGGGGGGAGATGTACGGCTGCCCAGTTGTTGGAAGTGCCTTCACGGCCGCCTTCTTTGACCTTGAACCAGACGGCGCTGTGATGGGGAGTCAGTGATTGCACACGGTTGGTTCAAAGCGGGATGGCGGGTGCTTACGATTTGCCGGGGGACCAGGCCTGGCAG